CCCGACGATTGTCATTGAGTCCCACTCTTCCCTCACCTTCCCCGTGATACCTTCTTGTGCCTCTACGTGTGCTTCTCTATTTTTACTTGTGAATTGTGGAGGATTGATATTACGGGTTTAAGTGAGGGAATTCGGGGATTGAGTTGTGCTTGAATGATTTCGGTAGGCCTACGGATTGCATGCTTTGTTTATTACTTCTTTGGTTGGCCTACCGAGCAGCATGTGTTTGTGATTGTCCCGCTTGGAGCCTAATTTGATGTCCGGGTTTATTATCCGAGGGCTCCAAGTGCGTTTAATCTTGTGTGGATGGTGAATGGTCTTGAATGTTTTTCCTCCCCTGGGGCCTAGTCCACTGTCCGAATTTTATGATTTTAGTGCCCCGGGTGCATATGATTGTGAACTCACCATTGACAAATTTCCATGTATGTTGTTGTGTTTTTGCTTCTTTTTCGCTGCATGACAATGAACACTTACCTGAACATGCTCGACGCCGACCAGAGGAAGACTCTGCGGGACATCCGACGCCGCAAAGTCGTTGAGTACCATTACCTCGATTTTGCGGTCTTCGAGGATCTGGGTGCTCGGGAGGCAATGGAGGCTACCATCCGCGCTTACTCTTGGCGCCGCCTCCTCTGCCTCACTGAGCCGATCTATCAGGAGCTCCTCTGGGAGTTCTATTCCACCTTCGTGCACTTCCGGACCCACGCGGCGAGCACAGCAACGCCATTCAGTTCGGCTTGGCGGGGAGTCGTATTCCCTCAGCTATGATGACTTCGGTCAGGCACTGGGGCTCCTTCCACCATTCGCCTGCGACCTGGCCATCGAACAGAAGGACTGTCCGATCTTTCGGGACCAGCAATTCTTCGAGAGGATCTGCCTCCAGGAGTTCGCGGGCGCTGTGTTCACACCGGGCTTCACCACTGCTACTCAGCTGCGCCCAGAGTGGCGCATCCTCAACCAGCTGTTGGGGAAATCTTACACCCCCAGCGGTGGCTCCACCAGTCATCTTCAGCTTTGCATCTTACACTGCCTGCACTCTATCAGCCAGGAGGAAGACAATCTCCATTTGGCCTCTCTCATCGCCAGGATCATCGCCAAGGCTTCTCGCTGTCGTCGTGCTCTGGCTTGTGGGCCTGTGGTTCACTGCCCTGGCACGGTACTTCAACATCGACCTCTCTGGGTTCACTGTCATCCTGCCGCCGACACCCTTCTCCAGGGACACCCTACGACGCCAGCTGATACTGTAGCGCGACGGGGACATGACCTGGATCTGGGGACTTTCTCGCCCTGTTCCTCGTGCACCAGAGGGCGAGGATCTCCTTGAGGAGAGCGATGCTGCCGCTCGTCGGACCACACCTTCTGCGCCTAGCGCCTCCACCTCTGCTGCCGGCGCGACTGCTGCTGCGCCCACCTCCTACATTGCTGAGCAGCTGGCAGCCGTTTCTCGCCAGAACGAGCAGATCCTTGCTGGCCAGGAGCACATCAACGCCCGACTTGATCGTGAGCGCGAAGGTCGCCGCCACATCATTTCGGCACAGCATTACATGATGTGCTACTGGGGCATGGACCCTGTTGCTGTTAGCTACCCTTGGGAGGCGTCCCCGGGGCATGAGGATTTCTACCCGCCTCCAGCTGGCGACGGAGGCGATGAGAAATGAGCTTGCTCTGCCTGCTGCCCATCGAGTTGGGCTCTGCCTTTGTCTTTCTTTCAGAATAAGACTCCGTATTATGTTTCCTTTTCTCTTATCATGTTTGTTTGGATTGTAGACTTGGAGCTATGGTTTCTTTCACCCTATGTGTGTGTGTTTTCCTGACTCTAGCTCTGTACTCGTTAGACTGGTCCTTGGCTAGTCCTCTGCTATTGACTAGTCCGCCCTCCAGTCACCGTTTCTGACCACTGTTTCACGGTAACATCGTTCCCCTTCCCTCTGCTCCATTGAGGACACTGTCGCATTTAAGTGTGTGTGTGTGTGGGGAGGGGGGGGGGGTTCTTTGTATTCATTGGAACGTATAAATGTGTCTTGGAGCCTAGTCCGCTGTCAAAATCTCGAGATTTGAGGGATCCAAGCACTGCTGTTTGCTTGATCATATTGGCACTGTGGTTTTAATTGGTGAATTGAATGGCTTTCGACTTAATGCATGACAACTGAGGTGTAACTAGGACAGCCTATAATGATGACTGAGACGTGCAGTAGAATTGTGTAGGGGTTCAGTTTTTCAACTGTTTGCTTACCAACTGTGACTTGGATTGATCACTTGTTATTGACAGTCGTTAATGCATCTAGTTCAGGGAATCAGAATGAGAGATAGAGCATATAGGTAGCCATGTGAGATTTGAGCCTGTTTGTTTCTTTCTTGTGCGATAGATCCCTCTTCCATGATGTGTAGCACTCACGTTGCCATTAGCTAAGATGATGGAGGCATAGGAATAGCCCACGACCAAATTGACTGTCCCTGTGTGTCATACCCCCTAGTCAGCCCCTTTGAGCCGTGTCACTTTCTTTCTTTCGGTCTACAATGGAAAATCACCCTTTTGCATCTCTTAAAAGGTTCCACGGAGTGGTTTTTGCATGTTCGCTGCTGTTTCTCCTAAAAATAATGTGAGGGTTGGAGGTAATGCTTAAGAATTGGGCATGTGTTTGAAAAATCTGCAGAGGTGGTGGTTCTCTCAAGAAATGAAAAAAAGAGAAAAGGAAAAAAAAATGAATGAAAACAAAAGGGAGCCACTACCAAGAATTTGAATAGTGCCCATTAAGTAGTGTTTCTTAGCAGTCTGGCTTGGAAATGCTAACATTTATATGACCTCCTTCGCTCTTGTGCTCTAGAGAATTTGAGTAATGCAGAATGGCAGAAAGGAAGTACTGGTTTGATTGACTGTGATTGTGTTGGGGTTGGAACTGTAGAACCTTGTGCTATGAATACTTCCACCACCTAAAAGGCCTTTTCCCCATGTCCAAGACCCTAGCCACTCATCTGAACCTGTGTCTAAGACCTCCGGATTAGTTAGTGGGGACACCCCATATGTGAACTCTAGCATTTAGAGGCCGCCTTCATGGTGAAGAGACGTTAGGGATTGAGAGAATAAGCATGCGCATTTTTCGCATCAAATTGTCCTGATCGCATTGGTCGAGAGTGAGCGATTCATTCTCTCATATTATCTCTACTCTTTATCCCGGTGAGGACCTAGATTGCTCGGTCTCAATTCTAATATCTTGAGTTTTGTGCATGAGGTGACTGTCTTGAGTAAGCGGTTGAGTCGAGTCTATGTTGATTGATGAACAGAAGGGAGACTCCTCCTTTACTCGATTTTGCTACACTCGCATGTCCTCTGTGGTGGTTGTCCAGGTTGGGGTTGAAGTTGGTCATGTGTTGATGTTTAAAAGCCAGTTTGCTTCCCAAGTTTCGTGCCTATGTGATATGTCCCCAAGGGTTGCATGATTGAGATGTTTCGAGCTTACCTTGTATCTGACTTGGTTTGCTTGGGGACAAGCAAACGGTTAAGTGTGGGGGAATTTGATAGCGTCGTATTTGCACATGTTTTCACTCTTGTTCCCTGACCATTTTAGCTCGAATTTGTTGTTCCTTGGCCTATTTTATGCTAGGTTGTGTTGTTTTGTCGTGTTTCAGGCCCTAGCAAGTAAAGAGGTGTATGGGTGCAAGTTTCGGGTCATTTGGCGGTTCAAGATGAGAATTACGGGCAGACCCTGACCAATTACTGTCGTAATTGCGCCTGTCTTGCCCGTAAATGCAATGTCGAGCCTAATTCCCCATAATTCCTGTCGCAGAGTCAATTACGGGCAAGAGTCACAGTAATTACGGTCGTAATTCCATAATTACTGCCAGTAATTGGGAAATTACGACCGTAATTCTCTTCCTCAGAGCTAAGTAAAATGCGTGTTTTGGGTGATTTACGGGCAGACCATGATTACGACCGTAATTCAGCCCGTAATTCACCCAGAATCGGGTTTTTGAGGCAGATTCGAGCCAAAGGAGGGAGAAGGGACTATTGAGAGCAAAAACAGAGTTTTAGAGAGAGAAAGTGTGAAAAACAAACCCTAGGAGCTATTTGGAGTGGATTTCTCACCATTGAAACCCTGATTGCATCCCCAGGAGTGAAGATTGATATCCCAGAGCAGATTCTTCCCATTGTTATGAGTATGACTGCTTTGTATTATGTTTCCCTCTCTCTCTCTATGGAGTAGAACTTTCTCTCACTTAGGTATGAAGAACCTTAGTTCTATGTGTTAGGGATGTTGATTGTAATAACTTGGGATAGTCATACTGTTTGATTTTAATCGAATGATGCATGATTTGTTGAATCAATTGAAGTCTGATCATCTTTTCTTGATTTCTGCTGCAACCTGAGATAGATAGAATCTGATTAGGTTGTTAGAGCTTCATCATTCGGTAGTGGTAGATTGGTTAAACGAGAGTTAATCAATCTACTACTTTGTACTGGAACCTAATTCCAGTAGTGGAGTTCTGCCTTCATAGCCTCAGCTTTCTATCCCGGTGAAGACTAGTCTTCTGCCGGGTAGTTGGACTGAGAGAGCTTGGTCAGCTTAAGAGATTCCAAGCTACTGTCGGATCTTCCGCAGTTTATTCAACAGTAAATCAACCCGGGGTAATTACAATTGAGACCTAACTAAGGAGCTAGGGGGACTCATTCCCGAGTGACTCTTCCTTTGCTTCAGAAAACCGAACCAATTCCTGTTTTCTTACTGCTTTTAGTTAAAACAACAATCACTCGACTTAGTTTGCTAGATAATAGATAATCACGGAGTAGGCAGTAGATTTAGACCCCGAGTTGATAATTAGAACTTGCCACTTTACTGCATTCCCGGACTGCGATTACACTTGGTCGCAGTTTGGTGTTTTGTTTTAGCGTGTCACCGGGCAAAATGCTAGTACTATACAAAGGATCCGATTCCCAAGAATATTGACTCTGTCTTATTGCTAAAGAAAAAGGAAGAAGAATTGAGATAAAAGCTCCAAGATTCTCATCTACAAATAGCGTGACTTCTAAGGACCTGATCGAGACAACCTCCTTGATCAAAGTTGTGACTGTAGCAGATGTCATTGCTGAATTGTGAATTGCTGTTGCTGCTCTTATGTGGCCACCCGATTGCCCGCTTCCACTTTGCCCTCAGCTTGTAAACCCATCGCGTGGGGACATAAGACCTACTACTACTCCTGCGGCTGCCCAACTGAACCTTTGTCTTCCTGTCAACAACAATGGATGCCATGACAGCAGCTGATGTGGGGCTCGGAATCCTCTTCCGCTGCCTCAAGAATGGGATTCTTCTCATGCTTTGTGTATCTAGGAACTTCATGGCGAACTATGCTTCAAAATCTACCCTGGGTACAGTTGCACCCTCTTACTCAGAGCTTCAATGTCAAGAATGTAATGAATAAAACACAATAAGAGAAAGAGAGAGAGAGAGAGATGTTGTAAAATGGAACTCGAGGTTGAGCTTTCCGTGTATAAACTGAATGTGTTGATCAGTGGAGAAGCCATGTGTCGTAGTTTATTTCACGCATAGAAAAGTTACATTGTTTATTTTACATTCATGTATTTATAACAGGAAAGGTAAAGCACTATATACTACTTGAACTTTAATAAAAATACAGTTTACAATATAATAAACCTATCTATTACATTTAAGTCCTCGTATCCATCTCGGACAACTCCCCCCTGCAAGCTGGTGCGTACACATCCAGTCGACCCAGCTTGACCTGCAGATGCTTAAACACATGCACTGGAAGGTGGAAGGGCTTTTGCAAAAATATCAGCGAGTTGTTGGGCAGATGAAACATGCATAACCTTAATCGTACCAAGTAGAATTTGATCCCTAATAACATGGCAGTCTATTTCTATGTGTTTGGTGCGGTCGTGATTTACCTGATTATCAGCTAACCTAATTGCAGAGAGGCTATCACAAAAAATAGTGGTAGGAGCATTAAGAGTAACATTCAGATCATGAAGAATGTAACATTAAGAGTAACATTCACATGTTAAGCTATCCATGGCCCTATATTCTGCCTCAGCAGATGATCTGGAAATAGTTTTCTGTTTCTTTGATCTCCGGCTGATCAAGGAGTTACCTATAAGAACACAAAAATCCGTCATGGAGCATCTGGTGTCTGGACAAGCAGCCCAGCCGCTATCACAAAAAGAAGGCAATTTAAGGTCAGAAGTAGAGGAGAAGAGCAAACCTCGACCAACTGTACCTTTGATATAACGAAGAACTCTTTCTGCTGCCTGCATATGATGATCAGTGGGTGCATGGGTGAACTGGCTTAGCTGGTGGACAGAATAAGCAAGGTCTGGTCGAGTATTGCAGATATAGAGTAACCTGCCTACTAATCTTTTATAAACAGAGGGGTCAGTTAACAAAGTTCCTGAGTTAGCAGAAAGCTTGAAACCCGGGGCAGTAGGTGAATCACAAGGTTCTGTTGCTAGATAACCATAATCAGTTAAAAGATCCAAGGCAAACTTCCTTTGTTTCAGGAGAATTCCTTTGGATGATCTAGCTATCTCTAAGCAAAGGAAAAATTTAAGTTCACCTAAGTCTTTAATGGCAAAGGCTTGATGTAGTTGAGTTTTCAAATTTTGAATATAAGAAAGATCATTACCCGCAAGGATAATGTCATCAACGTATATTAAATCTATAGTAAAGGAAGAATCAAGATGTCTAACAAACATAGGATAATCTGTTTTGTATTGTTTATAACCTGCAGATGTAAGAAAGAAAGTTTGATGTTCCATTCACGACTAGCTTGCTTTAAACCATATAAAGACTTGTTTAGACGACAAACAAGATTTTTAAAACCATGTGACATAGTTAGACCAGGAGGTATTTTCATGTATACCTCTTCATCAAGGTCACCGTGTAAGAAAGTTGTATTTACATCAAGCTGATGTAAGTACCAGTTATTCATAGCTGCTAATGAAAGAACAATCCGCATTGTTGTATGCTTAACAACATGAGCAAAGGTTTCTAGATACTCTAAACCTAGGGTTTGAGTATACCTTTTTGCTACCAAATGAGACTTGAATCTCTCAACAGATCCATCAGCAAGGTATTTGATTTGAAATACCCACATATTTCCAATAGGAATTTTGTTAGGTGGAAGTTCCACAATTGTCCAAGTTTTAGTTTTATCAAGAGATGCTAACTCAGAATTACAAGCATCAACCCATCTAGAGTCTTTTATTGCTTCTTTGTATGTTCTAGGCTCAATTAACATAGAAGTAGCAAGAATAAGGTTTTTATACTCAGAACTTAGATTGTCATACGTAATGACATTTGATAAAGGAAATGCTACAGAATCAGATTCTGCTGCACAAACATAGTCATTAAGTCGTTTTGGTTTAACCTTAGTCCTAACAGGACGAGCATAAGCTAGAGGTTCATTGGCCTGAATATGATCAATAAGATCTAAGGCTTCTTCTGGAGGAAGTATAGTTAATGAAGAAGTATGTTGAGCTGATGTGGAAGGCTGATTAATATGAGTTAATGTATCAGGAACAAGAACGTTAGGAAAACAGAATTCAAATTTAGGTTGTTGAAAGGAATCATGTAAGGGAAATACATGTTAATGAAAAAAATTACCCCTAGAAAAGAAAATATCATGGGAGATGAGATTATATAGCCTATGACCTTTAATAGAATGGTGAAATCCTAAGAAAACACACGGAGCAGCTCATGGTGCAAACTCAGGACGGTTTTGTTGGAGGGTGGAAGCTTAAACCAAACAACCAAATACTTTAAGAGTTTTATTGTCTGGTTTGGTTTTGAATAAATCTCATAAGGAGATCTGTTTTTTAAAAGAGGAGAGGAGAGACGATTGATTAAGTAGACTGAATGCAACACAGCAAAACCCCAAAAAGTTATTGGAAGAGAGGTTTGAAATAATAAAGATCTAGCAACCGCTATGATGTGATGTTGTTTCCTCTCAACACGACCATTCTGTTGAGAGGAAGCTACACATGTTAATTGGTGAGTTATGCTATGAGATGAATAAAAGGAAGAAATATTGAATTCCTAACCATTATCAATGATTCGGATCTTAGCAGAAAATTGAGTTTTAACATAGGTAGGCAGATCTAGTAAAATTTGCCTAGCTTCACTCTTGTTTCATGAGATAAACCCATGTGTGACGAGAACAATCATCAACACAAGCAAAAAATATTTATGACCATCAAGAGTAGGAGACTGATAAGGTCCCCAAATATCTATGTGTAAGAGTTCAAACACAGATTGAGAAAGAGAATCACTCGAATGAAATGGGAGACACTTTTGTTTCGCCAAAGGACAAATGGAACAATGCAGTTTATTCTTATTAGTAGTTTGATATTCGACAGAAGTATCTAGGACTAATGACAAAGGTAAGCCAGTATGGCCAAGCCTATAATGCCACAAGTCAAAAGGAACCAAAGTTGTATTGAAACAAACATTACAGTGGATGTGAGAGTTGAAAAAGGGAGGCATTTGGAGATGATAGAGTCCAGAGACTTGCTTAGCTGTACCAATCGTCTCTAGGGATGAAAGATCCTGTATTAAGCAAGAGTCTGTGTAAAATTTTAAGGAACAATTGGAAGATTTAACTAATTTCGAGACTGAAATTAGATTAAAATTTGAATGTCGGGGATAAACAAAACATCAAACAGTGTCAAAGTGGAGGTTAACTGAATAGTTCCTATGTGAGAGACCTTAACTTTAACCCCATTTGGAAGAGAAACATTCATATTATCAATGGTTCGATAAGATTGAAACAGGTTTACCACAGAAACTACATGATCCGTAGCTCCACTATCAACTATCCACACTAATGAGTTAAAAGGTGATTGGATAGAGGATAAGATGGTACCTGATTCATCAGAGTTGATTATTTGTGATGCCACAGATGTGGGAATATAAGGTGAAGTATAACACCCTGTGGAAAACAAAGGAGCAGCCTAGGATGAAGTGGCCTGAGTTGTAGTGACCAGATTGGCCATAGCAGTGTTGGATGGATGCTGAAGGCTTGGTTGAGTCTGGTGCAAGAGTGACTGATACTGTGCTCGAGATAAAGTCACAGACTCCATCAGTGGAATCATCTGCAGCTGGGGGCGAGTTCAGTTCAGAAGTCACCGCATGAGTTGTCTTCCGAGTCTTGTATCCAGATGGATAACCATGGATTTTGTACCATCGGTCCACAGTGTGGCCATACAGACTACAGTGTGTGCATAGAGGGCGCTTCATTCCACCACCATGGCCCTAAGTGGCATTAGCTTGGCTCTGTGACGAACCACCATGGCTGGAAGGATTGTTACTGCGTCCTCAAATCGGAGTATCATTGCCTTGAGTTGCCAGAGCAAGAAGAGGAGCATTGAGACTCCTAGACTGCCTCTCCTGTTGTACCAAACTGGGGATTCTCGCAGTCAAAAGCGCGATTCTGCCTAGAAGCGGTTGGGTGACCTAGAAGCATAAAATCGTAAGCTTTTAAGTTTTAAAACGTAGATTTTGACTACATTTGTAAGGGAAAATCACGATTCTACGTAGAAACGTTGTGGTGACCCAAAAAGGTAAAAGCGTAAGCTTTTAAGTTTTAAAGCGCGATTTTGTGGGAAGGGCTCCATTAACAGAAACTGTGAACGAATATTGCTATAGCTTTCGTTCAGCACTTTGAGGAACCGGATTACTTGATCTCGGCGCTTGTAGTCTCTAGGTACAGAAGCAGCAAGGCAGGAGCAACGAGGAGCACAAGTGCAAGACGAGAATGGCCATAAAATCAACAGTTCGTCCCAGAGAATCACGAACTTAGTAAAGTAGGCACTTAAAGATAAGCTACCTTGTTTGAGAGACGAAATCTCGTCATAGATATCAGAGATGTGGACTTCATTCCCGTCGCTGAACCTCTCTCGAAGGTATTCCCAAGCCTCGACGGTGGTATCGAACCAGAGGACACTCTGTGCAATCTCAGGCGAGACGGAGCGCTGAAGCCAGCCAAAAACCTAAACATTTGCCTGATCCCATTCCGTCCAGAGAGGATCTTCGCGGGAAGGAATCGCAGCTCGCAAATCGATGAGTGAGAGCTTGTTGTGAGCCGGTAATCCCATCCACAAAGAGCGCGCCCACGAGTGGTAATTCGCACTAGTGAGTGGAACAGTCACGAGCTGAAGCGATGGAAGATCTCCATTCGAGGTGAATTATGGATGTGAAGCCGGAATCAAAGACGAAGACGAGTGAAATTAGTAGTG